CGCAGAACGCAATAGGCGCCCACTACCAGATACGCGCTCACAGCAAGGAAACAGACGCCAGGGACAAAACCGAAAACAAATAATAATACACAAATATTATTATAATTAAGAATTTTCTATTCAAACAATTCATAATAGTAATCAGCTGTAATTTGAAGACATTTTCGGATTAAAATTATATGCTGAAAGTCACATGAGCGTTATTTCATTCTTATATGAGGACAGCTAGACAAAGGGTTTTCAAACTTTCATCAAAATGTTATACGCTTAACACAGCTTGGCTTTGAATCGATCCATATATCTAACTCATATATTGAGTTTGGAATTTATGTATAATTTTCATTGACTAAATGTTTATAGTCTTTTAAAGGGCTCGTGCAAATCAATCGGAAAATTTACTCTGAACAGAATAGAAGGGAGAGTACGGAATTTTTTAGCTTAAAGTTTTCTTTCGCTTACGTGCATATCTAAGTTTTGTTAATCATTGAAACTGTCAAAACTATACGACCAGAAAGTATACTATACGACCAGAAAAGTATACTATACGACCAGAAAGAAAGAATTCGTGTAAAACATCAACATCTAGATCCAAATTACTTCAAATGTGACCAATGCGGTAAAGTTATGGGCAATCGATGTTCTTTAGAATTGCATTGGGAAATTCACGAAAGTAATCGGGAAAAAATACACAAATGTCCTGTATGCGGTAAAGCATTCGCTGCTTGGAAAGTTATGCGAACGCACACCTTAATACATATCCCCGAAGAAGAGAGAAAATTTCGCTGTGGTGAGTGCGGAAAAAGGTAAGCTTGTATAATTTGCATTGTTTGCGCTCAATCCCTACTTTGTGATCGGCGGTAGCACATGTATACTTTATTAGTATTATGGCTAAGATCGACTATTTGCTTGTTTTTGGAATTTGTAAAATAGCCGAGAAAATTAGATATTTAGAAAATTATTCTTACTTCATTTTGCAAATTAATCTTGAAAATTAACCCGAATAGTTCGTGAGTACTTGAAACAAAAGCAAAATAGCTAAAGATATCAAATTGATCGATATCTTTAACATCTTCTCAATTTCCAGTTTTGGTAATCAATATTTACTTAATAATCACATACGAAATGTTCACTTAAATAAGTGTGCGAAGGTATGCGATATATGCGGAAAATCTATAAGGAGCAGCGATGTCTTTGAACGTCATATGTTAGAACACACGGGACAACCACCGCCGGAAGTAAGCTGTGACATCTGCGGCCTTAAATTAAGCGGGCCACGTGGCTTGAAACGTCATAAGACGACACAACATCCTGAAGGTGGTAAACAAGAATCAGTTTGCCCAATATGTTCGAAGGTATCATCAAATCCGTTCGCTCTGAAAAGACATATTAAATTTAACCATGAAATGGCTAACAATCATAAATTGCACTATTTGCGAAAAGGCTTTCAAACGGCAGACGACATTAATCGTAAGAAATCATAATTATTGTTATAAATTTGTTAAGATAAAATTTCCGAAATTTGCTTTTATTAGGAACATATGACTACACATACATGTATTTGATGGTGATCCATCGACTCATTATATATAATGTTCTTACTTGTTGTTCTTTTAACAAAAGTATATCTATAGGCGCTTTTCTTCTTTTACTAAATTACATTAATCAAGAACATTCCAAATTATCTCCTTTTCTTTTCATCAAACGTCATTTCGCGCTTTGGAAACAATATGTATATTTAATTCATATGATTTCCTTGCTGAAATAAAGAGAAACGAATTTTCTTATCTTCTTCTAGTAACCGAACATTGTCCTTGGAGCAAATAAGAAAGCTTGGGCGCCTCCAAACGTTTGGTTTTTAAAACACGCGACGGAATGTCGACAAATTTGATCGCGTTATTGAAAACGACTCGTGCAAGGGATTTTCAAAGTTAAAATTATATTTGAAAGGAAGAGATTCTTTTTTTTTTCTATACTTTCATAAGTAATGTCGGTTGTCACACTGCTAATAAACTAATAGTTTGCAAATATTTTAAATTATGTTCAAACTTACTTCATTTAAGCTGAATCGTAATCCCGTCCGTCATTTGATTCAGTCGCTGTTGTGCTGCTATCACTGGAATCTGTGAGGAAAGTGCTACTGTCTGAACTATTATCCGGAAAATCAGCAGTAATATTAAATTGTTGACTTTCAGCTGTTGTCGATAGTATGTTAACAGTAGCTGGTGGTACAGAGTTGCTAGTATATTCCTCTTCGTCACCATCCTCATCCGAGGAACTATGGTCACTGCCGCTTGCAGTTCTCATAACGGTTGTGACAGCCGTTTCTGGTACAACATCAACGGTCACAGAAGTTATCGTAGAAGTTACCACGCATGCTTCCCTGTGCACACTTTCCAAAGCGATGTCAACGTTATCTTCCAATATCGTTGTTTCTACCCCATAGATCTCTCTCGATATACTATTTGCGGATACATCTCTTTCGGTCGCTTGAAGTGTATTTAATTGTGATGCAGTATCATTTTCCTGATTCGTATTGTTAGCCTTTTCGCCTTTTAAGATAGATTTTAATGTACTTAGATTCAAATTATCTATGTCGTCGTCATCGTCGTCGCCATCATCATCATTATCACTAGCAATTTCGTTTTTAACGTCCTTTGATTCATCTTTTACCAATCTCATTTTTTTATGATTTTTTTCTTGATTCGCATCAGATTTTGATGTGTGTGAATGTCTACTACTACTACGTTCAGCCGCTCTTTTGAGTGAATTTCTTACTTGTTGTTGCTGCTTCTTTCTAAGCGGTTCGTTTACAGCTTTTAATCGCCATGAATTTTCCGCATCATTTTCTTCGCTATTTTCGCTCCGGAGATGCTGCCGACGTTTTTTGTTATATTTTTGCCCTAAAGCCATAACAAGAGCAAAATTTTTCCCCCGACGTGGGTATGTTTCGTCATCATCCGAAGAAGTGTCATAGGATCTACGGCGCTTACGTGAGCCACGTTTTGCTTTTCGTGTAACTATAGCACGTTTTTGGGCGTTTCCTCTGCAATATTTACGATTTCTCTGGCTTCTTCGCAACTCAGTTGGATGAAATTCTGCATCAGTAGAAGAAATTGATAACCCCTCTGTGGAAGTTTCAGTCGATGTTGATGATGTAGAACTTGTGGACGTGCTACTAGTAGGTGAATACGAATCGCTATCTAATCTCTTATCACAACTTTGACTGTAGCTCATATATTTTTTGCGTTGTGCTGTTTTACGTAAATTTCTTTTTGACATGCGATTACTTGCGACCTGACCTAAATCCTGCCCACTAAAGCGCAATCCCGCTGATGTGCTCGCCCCTACATTGAACATTTCTGTATTCTCACTATTTGGGCTTTGGCGTTTGCTTGCTTCAGACGTGTTGCTTTGCTTGTTGTGGCCAGATGAGTTCTTGTTAGCTAAATTTGTGTCTTCATCACTCGTGTTGAAGCTGGTCTTATTTAATGGCTTCGTTTCATCAACAAAAACTACGTCAGAATCAGAGGCCGAATGGAGGCTTACCATTTCGGGAGTGCGTAGATGTGGGGGTTTTCGTTCCAATACAAATTCGCATTCATCACTGCTTGTCGAAGACAGTTCTATGTTTTCTGCAGCAATTGAGGGAGTATTTACATTAGCGCATTGGTTGGATTGAAGCTGGTGTTGAGGTTGTTCGCGGCTTGATGTTGAAGTTGAAGGATCATTGTTGTCACTTTCATCTACCAATTCGATAATTGATTCATTCCTGACACCATTGCTGGAACTGGCCCGATCATGCATCGACAAATTTATGGCTAGAATAAAATGAAATAAATTATATTAACATATAGAGTAAGCCATATCCATTTGTTACATTACCATTTCCAGCAGATCTATTTCTCGTCGTCGCATCAATTAAAAGATTATCATCTCCGTCCGAACTTTCCGATACTGAGTATTCAATTATTTCCTCTTGAATTTGTATCGAATAACGTACTGCTCTATCATAGCCAATCATATCGTAGGGGGAACGAGCAAAGTTATTTAATTCATGAATAAAATGGGCAGTTTTTGCCCCCAAAAAGGGCTGGACTCTGCGCCTGAAAGCCGGCGATAATATATTCATAACAGTTAGCGCTTCTGCAATGCTGTCAAATGCATTAGAAGCTGTAACATCCAATAGACAATGAATATCACGTCGAATAAACGGCATTAAACGGTGCATTTGAGCAGGATTCTCTCTGTACAAACGATTGCAAGTTAAAGCAAAATATCATAACACATTACATTCCTTACCTATAGAATCTGGCGCTGCTTTCGCGAAAACGACCGGTTATGTCACAGACTGGTAATGCGAACAATTTTCGATCATAAATATATATTCGCCACATGTGGCTAAGTGCCGCATCACCTATTTCATCCGGATTACGCCGATAATATTCATCTAAGAAGTCACCAGGATAAGGTCTAGTTGTTCTTGCGGCACCGAACGAGCTTCCTGAGCCCCTACTGCCACTTGCCCCAGATGTAACGGTGACTGTGCTACGTCCGCGGGGGAAACGAGGTGGAGGGACTATAACGTACCGATCGACGTAACTCACAAGCCCAAATGATTCTAATTCAAATTGTGGAGTCGGTATGTCAACTGTACGACTCTGCACATGATATTCTTCGAATTGGTCAATCGATTTCACGTTATGTATAATGGATTTGAAGGTTTGCTTACACAATGGACATTCTGGTTTGACTTTACTCCATTCGCACAAACACTTGAAGCAAAACTGATGCATACACGAATCGGTAAGGCATTTGTTTTTACAACGGCTCAAACAAATTGCGCAATTGGGCGGCGGGGATGAAGGCCGATCGCCGTTTCCGTCGGTCGTGCTACCGGCGTTTCCATTGAGCATATCCGCTTCGCTATCACTGCTGCTGGAAGACAGTGCCGGCAGTTTCAATTGCAATCGCGGCATTAATGTTGGATATTGCGATTCAGTACTAGCAACATTTAAATCCTGGGAGCCGGATGTAATATTAAGCTGATTGAGATAATTTCCGGACTCATTATTGTGCGCTGAGGTGTGAGCTTCAGTTGAATTCTCCCGCAGAACGGCGTTTACCCCAACTAACAAGTCAGGCACTGCACTCGAAGGCAATGATGTATCAGCCATAATTTATTTTATAATTTTTATTAAAGTGTTGCGAATTTAACACTACTTTCGTTTTGAATATATTTCTCAGGTTAGTGTTTCTTCAGTCGATGTTCGATTATTTCCTAAAATCCAACATGTCTTATTTTCTTTGTATTTTTAAAAGTTTTTCGCTATTTTCACTCAAACAACACCACCAGCAAAAATACTCGCGCAATAAGGCATACATAAAGACGCTCAGTAGCTACACTCAAATATTATCGTCTGCAGGTTAAGTTTTATCAAACGAAAAAAAGAAAATTAAAATTTCGCCATATATTTTTCACAATATCCAAAAATTCTATAAATATTCATTAATTTTACAAACATTTCATCAAATTCAATAAACGTTTCTTATTGAAAACCTACTCCATGAAATCGTTCGTTTTTCTCCACTGTCGAACACAAAGTTACTCAATACATTTGTATGTACGTATGGTATTTTCTTTAATATAAATGAATCAAACTCACCATTTCCCATAATATACTAGCGATATAATTTAAATTTAAATCTCCCATTAATATTTAAATTAATTTTAAGTATGTAATTATTTGCAAATTTTCTTCTTTTATTTTATTTTGTAAACGGCGACAGTAATAATTAGGACTGCCAAGTCTTATCATTTGTTTGTTTTTCGAAGATTTTTCTTTTGACCTTAAATCATCTGTAATCACTAAAGTAAATGCGAAAGAGTTGTTAATACAAATACTGGGCACTGATCAAGTATCTCTCTTAAACTCTCGCTCGCTTTGACGACAACATATGTAATGTAATTTATCCGAAAAGCGTGAGAGATAATCAAATTTTCGATCGTTATAAATCAAGCAGCGTAGCAACAACAAAGTATACCCATATATGTAGCCCTCAATCACAATCGTTTTTGCTGGTTTTCGTTAATTCTTTTATAAAAGCACAATTTTGGGGTTTATCGAAAACCAGTATCAGGAATCTGAAAGTCTAATAATTATTGGCTCCAGACTTTAGAGCAATTTTGCTATACGTTAAAAACTACACTACACGTTTATACCTGCTCTTAAACTTGATCAGGGGCTCTCAATAAAAAGGTTTGCTTCAATTTTTTGTATTTAGGATTGTCCGCGGCTTGATGAAACTTGCTCAAGGGCGAACAAGCAAGAGTATGTTTCAATTTTTAACGTTTAGGGCCCTAGTATGTTGTTAAGACTACAATTTTTCCTATACGGAAAGAGTTTTGTAAATGAAATGGCTCGGGGTATATATCAGTTACCCTCCGACTCGGCGTGCAAGTTTATCATGGGCTTTTAATCCACTCGGCTATTTCGTTTCAGTTGTTACATCGTAATTAATCTCTTTATTTTCAATCTTTGATTTATGAATCTACAAATCTTATCCATTAAAATCAAATATTATCTAAGGAAAAAATTTCAATTACTTTAATACTTTCAATGCAATCTCCTATCTTCATTCATAACCTATTCGACAAAGAAATTAAATTCGTATTATATATGTTTAAGTTATTCGTTTTAGCTAATTAGTCAAATTGGATTGCTCCCTATCAGTTTACTCCTATTTAGGCTCCTCTACGGGCTCTAATCGGATGACTACGAATATCTTTTTCCCGTTTAGCAACTGAATGACCGTTGGATCGCGAAGAAGGAGCAAGTGCCAAGCGTTTTCCAGCTGTCTTACTTTGAATGTGATAACCTTCTATTTTCCATTTCGATTGTTAATTGAAATCTATACTATGTAAAACTATGCCTACAACACATAATATTAAAATTGGGACACAATAAAGTGAAACTTAATCTACTATAAATATGTACAAATACCCTAAAACTAGGTACAGAACCAAAACGACTTAAAAACTTTGGCCCTTACAATGCCTAACAACAAAAGTAGATATTTTTGTTCAGACAACTGGGTCGCTATATAGTTCAGGTTATCTAGTTCAGTTGGGCTAGCCCAACTTTTCCAACCTTCTTAGTTTGATCTGTATAAGTCGGAAAAGGTTAGCTACTGTTAGTCTACTCAAGTCGGCTAAATAGGTTTGCTTAAGGCGGAGAATGCAGTGGCGAGCCTTTTTATACTGGTTGTTGACACCCGTCAGGTCACATTCGCTACTACAGTCGGCTTCGGCAGAGAGGGTTTGTCGACGCAAATTTGCTAATCCAGACAACTCACGGCTGCCAACCCACTCGCTTCAGCTTAGTTTGCAAGAAGAATTTTTCTGAGCTTTTGTTTAGATTCATCGAAAAATTTGCAGCTTTTGTTTAAGTACGCATTGTTTCATGCACATGCAAATGGATGAAAAGAAGTTGAACGATTTTATTGACGCCTTATTTTAAGAAATAACTTTCTAAAGAACCTTCTTCTAGAATTACACTCATATCAAGCAACAACAAAATTCCATATTATAATTAAACAAAAGTTAAAAAGAACAAACAAGTAAGTTAATAATGTGGAATACATTGTAAAATAAGCTCGTTCTCGATTATGGGCATCGTTTGTTTCTCTTTCACATGTACACTAAAATCAGTCTGTTGTTCAGTATTTGGTATATTTTTGGAATTTTTATTGTTATTTGGACTAGTATTTGATTTGTCATTGGGCAAACAGTACAAGAGCTTAAAGTTAAGGTTTGTAGCAATTTACGTTATTTAGAATGTAAATATAAATGGCATTTTAGTGAAAAGTGCTTGCGAAAATTTTATAAGACATTCTATCGGTTAAAGTTTTGAAGAAATTTTAACTTTTTACTTAAATTAATCATAAGCTCCTCAGTAAAACCATTATACTACCGCATATCAGATTAATTGGTATTTCTTGTGAGAGTATGTTGAGGTCACAAAGTGCCACAATTAATTAGAAATATATTGGCAACTCTAAGCATTACAAATGTCAAATTTAATAAGAGAGTGGCGAGAGAAGAAAAATATATTTTGCTTTCAATTAAAATTGTTGTTAAATACCTTTATTTTTTAATAAGTAATTGAAATAATTTCATCGTATCAAACTTTCTTACTAAAATAAATAGTATATATTTACTAGCGCGTTTCTTAAAAAAGTGAGTGAATTAATTTAAAAAAAGAACACAAGATTGTTTTTTTACTAACAAAAGCAATTGTTTGTTTAGTAGTTAAAGTCTAATGGATATTGAAAGAAAAAGATATTAATTTCGTTTTGATAAAGCAATAGCTGTTAATAAAAAGAAAAGAAAAATAAAACCAATGTTAATTTTAATTCATAGTGAAGGAGATACTTTACGAATCTATTTCTAAACAAAGGAGCATTACAAAAAAATTAAAAATTCTTCGGAAAGTTAATTGTTTATGCATACGAAAAACATCGTTATATTTGTATGTAAGAGTAACTGAACTAACTATTTATAACCTTCGCGCATTTAGTTTAGACTAGTTAAACTCATTATTAAAAAGAGTTTAAGTTTCATTTAAAAAGATTTCAGAACAAGATTTTGTCGTGTGACGGTGTTTGGAAGGCATTTAGACGGAGTTATTTAAAGTAAAATAATTTAACGCGTCTCTAGCGATTGCTTGTAAATATTGAATAATTGGACTAATTTGCCTTGGTGCTTTTTTATTTGAAAACATTGTTTCGCTTAAAGAGAAAATAATACGCAATCGTTACGTTTTCGGGATCGCTGAGATTTTACATGTTGTTTCATGAAAAATCGCTATTTGTTCCGAGCGCCGGGTCACTGTGATTTTAGTGTAATGAAGAAACTGACCGTTTACGCGGCAATCGTATTGCGCATTTTGTCCATCGAATAGGCTCCCAAAGAGCATTGAACGCTGGGAACTGTCTTGCTTAATTAAAATACCTTTCTCTTTAAGTAAATAATATTTTTTTCTTTTATAAGCTTTATTACGTTAGCAAATTACATTTTTAAATGATTAATTAGCGAAAGCTTACTGCTTGAGAGCTTTTGGAGTTGTATTGCCTGCTGCAGGTTATGGAAAACGTTGTCAGATAAATTACCTTTAATTTTATTTCTTCTTTATTTCTTTGGTCTAGTCCATATTCACTCTATATCAAAAAAAAGGGGGTAACGGCTATTAACGAAGTATAGTAGTAGTTTAAGAAATGATCGAGTTCTTGAGATTTTTAATTGAAACGATGTAGCGACGAGCGGATTATACGACAGAAGCTTAAATAAATTATAACGGAAAGTCGGTGGTTGATATTGGCGAGCATGATAATGTAGACTCAAATATTGCAAAGACTTCCTTTTCATATATTGAATCATATTTTATAATTCAGTAGCATAGCACCGACTTCGTAGGGAGTCTGCAGCAACTGTTGCAGTGTTTTTTTTTGGCCGATCAATCTTTGATTCGTCTTTCAAAAATTCACCATCGTTCTGCAGTCACTAATTTCTAACGAACACATTTGAAATCAGAATTCAATAAAAATTTCTTCCAAGTAAAATATTATAAAAAAAGAAAACTTTTTTATCAAACGTGCTAATTATGTTGCTTCGAACTTTTATATCGAAATTACAAATGATGCTGTTGCTTGAAGCGCCGTAACTTGACAATTTATTGGTAGATTGTGAAAGATGCCTTTTAACAAATGGCGCCAATAGTTTCGTCTAAATTAACATATTTTAATTATTCTTCCGTCATATGTGCTGCTCAGTACATTTTTCGAGCCATATCGTTAAGCCTGTTGGGAAAACTCTGGGATAATTGCGCAAACTAAAAATCATGTCTACAGGGAGGGAAGCCAGTATAATATGATCTAAATGTTTAGTCAAAGCATGGATGAACTACGCAATTATCGTCAATACAAGAGAAATATGGCGGTTTTTTTGGCAAAAATTAGATGATTTCGACTTGGATGATACGTAGATTTAACTAATTGATAGTCAGACCGGAATTTTCACTTCGTCCTTGTGGCAAAATACGCTAATGTACCAAATTTCGTCAAATCATCTGACAAATTCTGACCTGTAGATTGAACAAAAGGAAAGACGGACAACTTGAAATCGACTGAAAAGGCGATTCTCACTCGATCGGTATAATATAATATGGTCTTATCCCAAGTCATTCTGAGTGTTGCATACATCCGCAAAACCTTATTGAAAATCCTTCACTTGTAGCACCTCATTTCGAAAAGTCATTATTTGAATACCTACAGCGTGATGTAAGGTCCTTAATGGTGACGCATAACCCGCTACAGTGGTATTACTTGTTTACGGGGCATTGAATGCATTTTTCTGTACGTTACAAAGATATGGTAAATATAAAATATCCGCTATAGAGGACAAAATGACAAGCCATGATCTAATGAAAAAGTTTAATACAATTTAATTTTAATATTTATATTGAATTTTTCTTTCTAGATTGTGCCATAATCATGTCGTGAAAATGTCACAAAATGATTCCGATGAAATACGCAGTGCTGCCGAATTGATAATAACTCAGTCACGTCTAATGATGCAATCGCGCTTTGGCAATCCTCCGATTGATATGCGTACGTGAATTCAACTTAATGAAATCTATAAAAAATCTATCTATTTTTTTTTTATTATTTTTTTAGCGCGCACTCATTCGATAAATCTTATAACTGAGGAATTTCTTGGTGGTTATATGCAAGATGGGCGCATGTCGGTAGTGAGGAGATTTTTCTGTTTATTTGTAACTTTTGATTTATTTTTTGTTTCTCTATTGTGGTTAATATGTATAGTGGTAAGTTTCAATTTAAATAGTTTTGTAAAAAAAAAAAATTTTAAGTTAAATTTTTCTTTCTTTTACGATAGATTAATGGTGATAATATATTTCAAGCTTTTCAAAAGCAAATCGTACATTATACTATATATACGTCGCTTTTCGATGTAGTCGTTGCTGCAATTTGCCGTTTTATAATATTAATACTATTTTATGCTTTGTTGTACGTAAATCATTGGTTCATTATAGCGGTAAGTAAATCTGTTGATAAATTTTGAAATATTAACTTTGCAATTTTCTTACAGCTATCTACTAGCGGTTCGTGTCTATTTTTAATCAGTAAAGTTTTTTTATTCGATGTAAGTATAAAAGTTCAAATACATATTTTTATTGTTTTTTTGTTTTTATTCAAATTTTACAAGTTTCAGTGGGTGGACTCCAGGCAACAAATTTTCGAAGTAATTCTTATTATAACATCTTTTGTGTTAGCTTGGGGTGAAGCTTGGTTTCTAGATTGCCGAGTCATACCACAAGAACGTCACGCACGCCGTTACTTTTCCAGTAAGTATGCAGTAGATCGATAGTGTATTAAATTCTTAACGCGTTGACTGATTTACAGTTTAGAAAAAAGCAAGTAAAAAAATTATATTCGGCTGGGGCCGAACCTCGCATATCCACCACCACTAAAATCTTGGGCGCCCCATGCTTTTACTTATTGCCATAAAAAATTGAATGGGGCAAAAATATTTATCTTTCACTTTTTATTTCACTAAAAGGTATTGTTAGGAAAAATTTGTTTACAATTAGGTGACGTCTACTATAGTTGATTTAAAACTGACACATTTTCGCTTTCTACTCTCCAAGTCCTTTTATTTGACACCATATGTCTCGTATTATTACGAACAAACTAATTCACCAGGTCCACCATAGTTCTTTCATTTTATGTCAATATCCCTAATATTATTAAGAGAAAATCAATCCACCAGGTTGCGATGTCTATCATATCTATTTCAGAATTAAGGCATTTTTAGGCAGGTTATTATTTACCATTTGAGAAATGTACGCAATAGTTTTTGTTTACCTTATCAGCATTAAGTAGAAAACGTCAAAAAAGTAAAAAAAGTTAAAAATTTATAATCTGGTACAGGCGTGGCCGATTTTTTCGCTTAAGGAAAACTGATTTGCTGTCAGTTTACGCTTTACTGTGAGCGTGTACTTTGAAAAATTGTGAATTTCGGTAGTGATTCGCCTGAAAAATTACAGAGAGTGCTTTCAACCATCAACAAGTTATTCTTGATCAAAAGCAAGCAAATAAATTGCCTTTCGATATCATTGCGTTGCCAGGCATTGCAGCCACCTTCATTTTACAGGTTTCTCTATGTTTTCTGGAACAACCGTCGAATTTTCCTTCGACATTGATGCTTGTGCGGCCGCGTCTAGAATCAGCAAACCACTTTTCTGCCATTTGTCTCGAAGGAGCAGTTTGCAAATAACACTTGCCAAGTCATTGCCTTATTTGAATAATATTTTTTCCTATTAAAAAGCAATGCTTTATCAATACCCGAAATTCGGATCATTCGATTGTTTTTAAAATTACAAAAGTAATGTCACTAAAACAGCTGTAACTTGAAAACTCTTGACCGGAATGTCATGAAATTTTGGCATATTTCGTCTGAACGACGGCACTATCCTGTAAACTATAGAGACACGTTAGTAGTGGCAACATCTATGTCTTATCCTATGAGCTTATTGATTTGTGTGTGTGTTATTGGACAGAAAATATGAACGAATGCCTAAAGATTACAAGCAACGGATGAGCGGCAGAATTTTAAATTGAACGTGGTAGGAGTTAAAACTGTAAGAAAATTATACTGGGCCCGGTTCTTTTATAATCTTCAACATTTGGCACTGATCGATGATATGTAGATTTTTATACGGCCTCTGAAACTTTTTTTTGGATGCTACAAACATGTCGATAAAAGAATGAAATTTCAATATTCTATAATAGCGGCCGATCTTTTCCATTTTTGTACAGATGCTGCAGGAACACCCATATAATATAAATGCAAATGTGTGTGTGGGTTTATAAGTAACGAGAAAAATCCAAATGTTTTTTACTTTTGAAAAAGGAGGTTGTCGCAAATTATGTTGCGCTATGATCGGGTCCTCTGACGAATTTGGTTCAATTTCAACACAATGAGATTTTGCACATTATGACGCAATAAGTATACCCCCTCCTTTGGCAATGTATAGAAAACTTCAAAGACTTTCTTATGATATTAATAAAGTATATATGTTATCAATTCGTAAATATCACTTTTTTGCAGATGGTACGACTTCTACTGATCGCGCTCCCCAAATGGCTCCTTTTCTAGCTTCATACAATGAAAGGCGTCCCGCAGAAAGTGTTGCAGATTTTTATTCTCCTTTAGATTCCGCCCATGACACCGATGAAGAGGAAGAGCAGGTGCGTATGTATCTTTAACTTGCAATCGGTATTAATTCATTTCAGAATTTAGTACATTATTGATTTGAATACCTATAGAATACATTTACATAATTTATACATGAATAGCTCAATCTTGAAATCGAAATAAGTTATTTTGCTCTACTCCGACAACGACATCGAGATATTCTCTACGTAGTTACAAGGTCTTTATCATATCAAATCTTAGACGGATTGAATTGCATTGAAGATTAACATTTTTTTTTTTTTTTTTTTTTTTTTTACTGGAAAAATATTCTAAAAATGTAAATTTTCTAAAACCGAGATCAAAAATTGATTATCTTATAATTGGATTAAATGTTAGGGTGACATCAGTTGATGTGCAACGTTCTGTCATGACGGTGCTAAGAATTTCTATTCATATGTTTAATGAAAACAACAATTGCTTTTTTTTACTCCTTTAGGATGAAGAATATCATCAAATGGGCTTAGATTGTGTGCGAAAAGCGTATGAATTGCTGCAATGCACGGATTGGAAAGTGGAAAAAGTAACTAAGAAAGGTGACACGATTTGTAGCATACATCGGGAAAAATTGGGTAAAATCTATAAATTAACGGTACTTGAAAATATTCGAAATATATTTCTTGAATGATTTTGAACGAGAATCTAAATAATTTTTTCAAGGGCCGCCTAAAATATTCTCCAAAAGCTTTATGTGAGGAATTATTTTATAAAATCGAAGGACAGCCACACTGGAATCCTACAATGCTTGAATCGAAAATTGTAAAAGTAAGTATTTGCCTTCAAAAAAAAAAAAAAAGAACATGACGATCGGATATGTGTGCATATTGCAGAAAATTAACTCTTATACTGACATAACTTATCAGGCGACCGTTGGCGGTGGTGGTGGCATGATTAAAAGTCGTGACTTCGTTAATTTACGTTGCTGGCGTCTCTTTCGTCAGGGCAAAATGTGTGATGATGGCATTGCCAACGCAGAGGAGAGCAGTGATGAGGAAATACTGAATGGTTCCTGCGAAGGAAGTGTCTCCACGGTATCCGAAAGCGAAGGTTACGTAACTAGGATGCCCGGTAGTGTGGGGAGCTGTCGTACAGATCATTGTTTATCTGTACAGGCGCAGCGATCAGAAGCTTTTCAAACTCTTAGTAGAAGCTTAGGAGCCAAAGATTTCACGGAAGTATTGCGTCTAGATTTCGATGATCCTCCTCCGCTAGAGGAAGAATTCGAAGATGCCAAAGAGCATTTAGATGAAAATCTGCAAATTCAACAACAAACACCTACTACTGCTGCCTCTAAGCCTTCAATTAAGGGAAAAGTATGGATTAGTGCCGCAATTAGTGTCGATTATAATAAAGTTCCGACAATTAGTAAATACACTAGGTAAGCCAGTTAAATCCTTAACTATCTCATGATGAAAACAAAATAGTTTCGTGTACTGTCCGAATACTAATTGGCACGAAAGATGCCAAGTAGCCTGACTACTCATCATAGCCTTCGTTGGTATTGTGTAATATACCGATTGCGTCTTTTCTATACCACTACACCACTTGTAGTCCCAGTTTGTGCGGATAGATCCCACAGTCAAGAAGACTTGAAGTAGGTCCCCCTTTTTATTACAGCAATCGATTCAAGTTAATTTTCTGAATCTGTCTAAGGTGGTCCGTCCGTCTGACCGTTTTGTTTTCTTGTATTCAATGCTCAAATCAGAATTTTTGTGATATCTTGATGAAATTTGGTCGGCTGACATGTTTTACCCCAAGTACAAACGCTATTGAAAATGTGTCGGATCAGATCACCTTTTTGACCACTTTCCCTGTAAAGCCTTAATTTCAAAAAACTTCATATGAATAATTGTAGGACGGTGTAGGTTGTTTCCTTCTAATTTGTTCTAAAATACATGTTAGAAATTGCTTGTGCAACTCCTTAGGCAATTGATTCGAATTATGACAAACTCGTAGTCGAAATATCTCTCATTTCATGCCCAAGCCATATATTATTCTACTTTCAACTTTGCCAAGTTAAAACGCTAAACGGATTTGGAAAAAACATCGGAATATAAACCCGCAAAGACATAAAGAAAAACCGCAGAGATCTCCAGGAGCAATATAAAAATTTATGTTAAATAAAATTCGCTTCAAGGCGAATACGTACGTTATGTTATTGGGTCGATGATTAGCATTAACTCCAATTTTTGTATTACTTTCGGCAGAGGAGAAAATCTTGTAGCTGGATTTGCTATGCATCCGGTCGATGGTAAACGTGATGCTTGCATATTTGAGTGGATCTTGTGTTTGGACTTGAAAGGCTACGTCCCACGTTACGTTCTAGATACTGTATGTATTTATTTGTACTTTTGTTTTTACTTCTATTTTTTAATATTTTCTCTGCTTTCAATACTCTTTTTCATTTAGGCTTACACAACATTCATGACCGATTACATGACTCATTTGCGTAAATATATTAATGAGTTACGTCAAAAGCGTCGCCTAGTGCCTGGAAAATAAGGTTTTTTAGATTGTATTTTATTTTGTTTCCACTTCTTTTATATTAAGCATAAAATTGATGTTTATTTTGCTTTAAGTGTAAAATTTAAGTTAAAATATATATAAAGATAAGAAAAAGTATAGATCACAAACTGAACTGAATAAACATTCGAAGGCCACTTTTTTTTCTGTTTTTATATGTTATCCATTAAATTGCACTTATACAATCCGTTATTATATCTTTGATTATTGTAAGTCAATAAGAAATACTATAAATGTAAGGAAAATATTTTTTTTTTAAATACAACCAAAATACATATTTGTATTTTTAAATAAAATCATTGTCTTCGTTTGAATTTTTTATTAAATTGAGCGAAAAGCAAACAACACGAAAACGCCATCAATGCGTGGCAATTAATTCTCTCAACTTTTGAAAAAGCTGATTGCAAAAAATTGGGGTGTTTTTTCGTTCATCGGGCACGGGCTGACCAGGAATTACTGCACTTTTTCAGAAAATCAATTCGTTTTATTAGCTTAAACTATCGAAAGATGAGTAAGGGCATAGAGAAACTTTTATTTTCCGAACACAGCTGTATTGCGAGCACTTGGAAGTTTTAAGGCTTTTTTGTCGAAAGACATATTTTGAAAACTCGGCTGCCGAACGCAATTTTTAACCTTTTTTTAAATTTTTTGTTTAAAAGGGTCCTGGACTATATCCATCGTATAGCATTTTGAATATGTTATTCTTAAAATGCATTCTTCATCCTGCTGTAGCTGTAAACTCTCCATTCGTTGCAGGGAGTTATGGTATAGAGCACAACTGCTTAGAGAAATTTCTCAAATATTTACTCCAAATAATCTATTGTCAATGAGACATATTTCATCATTTTTCATCTACGCCTATCTGTCACGTTCGTCTTTGTGTAACTTTAACAAACACGCATTCAATCATTCACTCATTCATTTGTTCATTACTTCCTATATTCAATCTTTCATTCATTATGCACTCCCTCATTCACACAGTAACTTATTAGTTCTTTCATTTATTTATTCGCACATTCATTCAGTAATTCATGCATTCATTCTTCCTTCATACATTCAACAAGAAAAGGGGTTCCAATGAAAACACAAACATATATAAAAAATATTTCATTTGTCGGCAAAATACTTGCAAAATGTTTGTTTGTTTATTAATGCTAATAGTGTATTAAAAATCTTTGAAAAAGTTATTGTTCGATTTTGTTAGTATGAGAAACTTTTGTTCGATTCTGTAAGTTTGAGAATTGTTGTTCGATTTTGTAAGTTTGAGAATTTTTGTTTGATTCTGTAAGTTTGAGAATTTTTGTTCGAATTTGTAAGTTTAAGAATCTGATGCTTCATAAATCTCTTTTGAACTTTCGTAAGAAACCATTTCTTCATAAACTACTTCTAATGCCCAGTGGCCCCAAATTTGGACATTATTATTTTATTTTTTTTTTTCAATTTTTATTTTTTCCCCATTTTTTTTTTTTTTTAATTACATATTTAATTTACAATCTATCCAAAAAATAATGGGTATATGTTGTGCCAAGATAAGAAATATAACTTAAAAAATTAGGAAACTATATAAAATTCATTTAGCGAACGATTGTTGCCATTGCCAATAGTTTTTATAGAACTGGTACTGTGCTTTTTCACCATTTATTCCCATTTAACAGAACTGGTACGGTGCTTTTCCACCATTTATTGAAAGCAACTCTGTTCTCTCTCTATTCACAAGACGTGATACTTTTTTTATAAACCATGTAAAGGAAAAAAGCGCCATGAAAACCAGTAAAGCACGAATGAACCACAGCCACAGGAAAAGAATCAAACCTAGGTATTTTTAATATGCTAATAAATTTGCTCATTTAATAATCACAAATAATAATAATAATAATGACAATAGTAAAAGAAGTGCTTAAGTTAGTGAAATTGCTAATCTGATGATAATATTGTTTGCAAACAAAACCGATTAAAAAAAAACATGTTCCCGATCGATGGTTCCATGGAACCATCCGATCTTCGAGATAGATTTTGGCCGCGTAAGGGGTTAATACTTGTTACGGACTTTATCATCCGCAAAATTGGATGATGTTCGGTGTGAATGGAGCTGAGATTGTTTTCAATCTGTTGAACTATGCATGCACGATTCTATTAAAAATTCGTAATGCGTTGCTGGCTTCTGAAACTCAACCATCTCAACACAATCACGGATAAAGACATATTTATAGCAGATGCTATAGCTGCAACCCGCTTGATCAATCTATTCACATTTTCTCCATCACAATCAACTCCAAAAGCAAAGGTTTTGTTTTGCCGACGGCTTTTGTTAATTTTTGTTAGATAATTTGGTCCGTTAGATAACACAGTGGCGTTACCATTTAACAGAGCTGCTATTTTTTGATTATTTTTCTTATTTATTACAAGCGACTCTGCGACTCTGATATCTGCAAAGCTAAATTAATCTAGTATTTGGCTTAGAGAAGTATCTTCATTCCGCTGATGCGATAGTTTTTTTAAAGCTAAAATGAAATAAAACGAAATGAATAATTTATACATAGTAGTAAGAAAGGATAAATGAAAACTTACCTTCATCTTCACGTATATGAGGCGATGAGCGCAGAGTTGGACTTTTTTTTTTTTTAATCTAAAATAGAAGAAATACATAAGTAATACATAAATACAAATATATATAATAATATATTTACCTTCACTTTACCGATTTAATATAGAATTCCCTCTGTTTGCATTGTTAGTGGACTTTTCTATTCTGAAATTCTCAAATATTCTGAAATAGAAAGCAAAAGATAAGTAATTTGTGAGTTAATTTTATAAAAAATATTAACTACCTTCACTTTGCTTCGTTTTCTGCCTGATTTTTCTATGCAGCTGTGTTAGCTTAGGCTAACTTGTCTGGCGTTATCCGGGAGCGACCCTTGCCCACTTTCGAAGAAGTATAAATAAATTTCAATTTGACTTGCTCCAAAGCTGACCGTTTAGTATGCTTGAACAAAGTCTTGCGTAAAGTGATGACACGTTTCTTCAAGCTAATGCAAAAACGCTTGATCGTAACGAAATCGCTTCCTACTTCACCGTAATGAGGAGGTGGTGTAATGCTTTTATGTGTTCAATTGTATTCCGTTGAGACGTTATTTTTGGTAACCTTTCCGTCCTTAGTGTGTATGCCTATACTTAAGCGATAAATTTTTTTCTTGAATTTGCGTTGTTTTTGAGTGCGACGATGATAAGCTTTTTGAACGGCTCAAGCCACAGTGGCCGACGGAAGTCATTTTCAGTGCTCCTCTTTCCAATATCATCACCCCATTCCTTAAAAGCGATCTATACCAGTTTTAGTAGAAAGGTCGAAAACATTCTTCGGATAAATGTTGCGCCCAAACGAAAGGTGTTTCGATGTAACCCGTCGCACCAACAACAATGATACGCAGTGTTTCCAAAACTATAAAAGCTTCCACAACTTTTCATTGCTAATGTACAAGCTTGCTGGCATCGTCTTTAGGGAAGCCCTTAACTTCTCAGCGAAGACAACGTATGAGGTCTTTTGTAATCAAGTGCGCTTGAAATTGAACAAGTGTTTGCAATCAATTTTAAGAACAATTACATTAAAACATTACAACAAATAAATATTGCAAATTTTCACATGGCAGACCAAGTACCAGACTAAAACAACAAGTATGTGCCGCCATATTAATTTGAAAATTTATCATTTCGTTTATATGATACTCGCCAAGTTATGTATTATATCACAAGCATAAATATGTATATATGTATATAATGTAAAAAATGGCGGCGAGATTATTTGTTAAAAATTAACTAAGTAAGAAAACTTTGTCTTCCCTGCAAATTATTGGAAAAAAAACTCGAAATTTGAAGAGCTACAATTTCACTTGTACTTGTTGTTAGCCGAGTTGAATAACCGCCGCCCCAGTTGGTAAACTGGCAATCTTGCTTTGTTGTGTTTCTTTCTAATACACATTGAGGATGCAATGAAACGAAAGGTCCTTTGGTGTATTGGATGTTATTAGCAAATTTGATATTTTGTTTTCATTTAGGAGATATTCTCCTAAACGGAAATTAATTAAAAAAATTTCCATAAAATACAATAGACAGTGTGTAACATCCTTTGTTGAACTTTTAAAAACAGGGTGAATTTTGTATTTTGTTAATCCACTCAATGCGAAATGGTTTTCTATTCTAATTCACTAATAAATTTTGTGTGTTACGATTGAATTTTGATATTTTTTTTACAATAAATCATAAAGAAAACTAAAAGAAGATGACTTTAATCGATTAAAAATTTGCTGCACATTGGGTGGTTGATGTGGGGAGAGCGGGCGAAGGAATTGAAAAGTATGGATGTGTCTTTCTGTTCCTTTCGGCAGTGGATGAATGCTGTCGCTTTCAATGATGTTTTCACGGCAATTATAGAATTCACATGATGTTTATCTATTGACCGTTCTTGCTAACTACGGGTATGTCTCATTGTTTGTGTTTGTTTCCGTTCCTCAAGCATCCACGAAATTTTAGTTTCATAAGGGGGTTGGTCAGTATGTATTTTTTGTTAATTCTGTTCACGTGAATACATTTTCTCTCCTCATTTTCCGTTCTACGTGTCCATGCACATCCGCAATGTTTTGCAAATATGTTTGCATCAACCATGTAACGGATAATATAAAAACGTTTTTATTTCAATAATCGTTGTATTATCATGTATTCTAGGTTATCCTTGAGATAATTGCAATTTATTTTATTAAACGTGAAAGTGTCAATCAAATCGTTCTTGCTTCGAACACACATATAATTTTCAGATCAATACATATGATTTTTGCAAGATTATATATGCTAAGTTTCTGATTTTTAATGCCTTACTGCCGAAACGATTGAGTGATTGTACTGGGTGAACGGTGTGCTTCGTTCTTTGTTGGGCGTTAGCGTTTATAACGTAACAAGTGTGTATGACGAAACGCTTTTTCATTTATCGGAAATGAATAAAACGGTACATAATTCGGTACTTATTATTTTATTTATTCATTTATTTTTATTCTATCTTAGTTTACAATAGATAGGTCACCGCCCGCCATATGCCGAACGACAAGGAATCAATATATAAATATTATTTTTATATGTCACTTATCGACTTATTTTTAATTTATTTTAGATTAAAAAGGAACCCTACGCCTGCGCTCACCGCCTCATCATAATGAAACATTCGCTGTATGCTAAAGGCAAGTTTGTGTCTATCCTTGTTATTATAATGTTAATAATGTTTATTTTGACATGTTTAACAATGTTTACTAATGTTTAATATTCGAGTCGCATCTATCGACCTAGGCCAAGAAGAGGTCCAACTTCGAATTTACGTAGCCTAAAGAGTATCTAATATTTGTTTTCTTTCTTCTATAAATTCATTTACAGAAACATACTCTTGTGCCGCAATGGATGCAGGGTGTGAAATACGCATGGCTAACTTCTGGTCCGTGATGTCGTCTGGCTGGAAGGTAACGCAATGCTTCATACAAGATCTCTTCATTTAATTTGTTCAATTATTAAGAAACTATAAAACCATAGGCCTATTACCTAGTTACATAAATACGAGCCGCAGCAGGAGGTTGGTTTCAAAAAAAAGGAAATAAAAAGTAAGAAAGACATATAAGATGCTTCTTTGTTATAACCTGACAAAGATATATGTGTGATAGTACGCCGTGGCCTGTTATTTGTTTTCCTTTAGATATGATGGATTACAAAAATTAAGATTACAAGTTATGAAGAGTTGGAAATTTTTTTATTATTTTTAAAATATTTTATTTTACAAAAAAAAATATGATGTAAGAAGCCAGGCAACACATGAGTATATTCAAAATTCGAATGAATATGTTTAGAGTAAGTTTAGTAAAGAAGCTCATAAAAAATTTATTTATTTAAATTTATTTGCTATCCGCTTGAGGAAACCAAGATTGGCAAGCCTCCATAGCTATTTCGCACATAGCTGAGAAAGCCTTCGCATTATCATATTCTGAAAGACAATGTAAAGCATAAGCATAAGCATGTTTTTATCACGATTTATTCTACGAACACTCACCGACATTGTTGCGTTTACCAAAAATGCTGCCATTGAAAGGCGGTTTACGGTAGGCGGCTTCAGTTGAGGTTAGCATAACTGCAGCCATAACGGAAAGGATTACAATAAAAGCCATCGAGGAACGTAACGCGAACATGTTTCAACTTTTCTTTAAAGTATTTTCCCCTTTTGAACTCGAGATACTTTTCTTAGGAATGCTCACAGTGAACTGATACTGTCCATGAGCGTATGACGAGCTTTTATACAAGAAACACTTGCTACGGACTACTTATTATTATTCGCTCCTCTATTCCTTAAGGACTTATCTTGTGTTAGATATAATTAAAAATAAATTGAAAGCGTTTTATATAATTAGATTTTTTCTACTTTTTATTAACAAGTTACTTAACAAAAGACAAACAAGTACACGCTTGCATTCATTTTGAATTCGGCGAATACACATTCCTTTATATTATTGATACTGATTTTTACTGGATTTTATTGGGATTGATTATTGGGAATCACTCGCCGGCTCGTCTATTTCTCATTTAGTGTGGAACAGCTAATCATGCATTTTCCAATCAAGGACTTTAGAAAATTCCTTCTCACCATAGGCTATCATTTTGGACTGTTCCATGCATAAATTCTGGCGTTTTAAATTGTCAATGAGGAATAATTGCTTCTTATAGGCATTTAATAGATCGGCTCTCTGTTTTTTCAAACTTTTAATTTGTTTATCTTTGGCTTCAGATTCGGTGCGTGCTGTATCTTTTAATTCACGTTCCGAAGTTTTCATAGCACCCAACGTGCTGCGTGCACTTTCTAGCTCCTCGTTAACCCGGAGCAGACGTTTCTCTAAATTTTTATTGGTTTGTGTGACAATCTTTAAATCTCGCTTAACCGTCTCTAGTTCTTTTTGTTGTGCTGTTTGTTCTGTCGAACGTTCTTTTAGACGACGATTGGCTTCTTCGAGTTGCGATTCAGTTTTGGACAACTGGTCGGCGACAGCGTTATGTTTCATAAATGCCTGATCACGTTGCTGCTCCATAACCTTTGAACGTTCCAGAGCCTTTTCTAAAAGTTCTTTTTGCTCGGCCATCTCCTGGTTGATACGATCGTGATCCTCTTCCAAAATAGTTATTTTTGACTTTAAAAACCTATACAACCGACAACACTTCAAAATGTAGAAATGACCAAAATGAAAAAACTTACTTGATTAGACCTTCGGTACTGACATGACGACGAGCACTATTCGTGCTTAATTGGGACCTGTGCTCGTGACCTTGCAACGAGGTATTACTCGCAACTGGTGTGGCACCCGTCGAATTTCGCATATTCAGCTTTTCACAACGCATAGCTGAATATTCCTCCTTGACTAGTACTTCTAATGAAGGACTTTCCACAAATTTCGGATTGCGATATTTAACTGTGAACGTTGCTGTTGCCGGTGTTGCTCCACCGGACTGCTTAAAATTCGACATTACCGAACGACTGGTTTCGTTACCCTTGTACGTCGATTTTCTTGTCTGAGCCTGTGATAAAGATGTCACTGGTGCGTTGGCTACGTACGTAAAGTTTCAGTTTATGAAACATTTTGCTTTAAGTAACTACGATAGAGACTTACCATTGGTCCGATTTATACGGCCCTTGTGTACTGAATGATTTACTTGCCCACTTGCAACACCCTCAGTAATACGCTCAGTACCTAACCGTTTTTTGACAAGCGCACTTTGTCCCTTGCCTTTCGATAATACAGCAATACGATTATCGGTTTTCGCGGCGGTCTTCCCATAGCTATTAGCTTGCCCCGATGACATGACTTGCTTGAATTGCTCTTGTGTTGGCATTTCTGATGGTGATTTGTTTTCTGATCGCTGTGATATTTGCCCTTTATTTGTATTACTTGTTTTATTTTTTTTATTTGCCGTATTACTATTATGTTGGTCCAAAACGGAGCGTGCTATGAGGTCTAGTTGTTCGTTTAATTCAATAAATTCCCTTTCCTTCGACAGCAGCTCGCTCATTGTGCAAGATGGGACAACACAATGGAAAACTTCGTTTGCTGTTGTTATCTATTTCAACCGGAATTTTGCCGTAAATTATTTGATTATATTTTTATATAGAAAAAAAAATAATAATAAAATAAAGGGAGCTAAACAAAAAAAAATCAAAACTCGTTACATTAAATTTTTGAAATTCAATTAATTATTTTTAATAAATATTGAATAATAATTAATTTCGATTTATTGATTGTCCCCAAAAAAAAAAGCACAAAAAACCCAAAGAGACAATGATTTTCAAAATTCTTCAAATCAAAATCAGTTAAGGTAGTTTTAGTTTTTATGAAGTTTTAAAAAAAATTGAAAGCATTTTACTTTAAACCTTTACAATCAAAAGGGGTTAGACTGTTGCCCCTAACAATGTCAAAACGTATTTTGCTGACAAAAAAACTTTACCTAACAACCGAAAACAACACAACTTTTCTTCATTTATTTAAAAGGAAGACAAATTTCATTGATTGTGACACGAATCTGATATTAAAGTGATAATACCATGCACATACATACATCTAGTATATCATCAATTAAAGCCTATTGTGATTTGTTATTCTACTAAGCGATTTTTTTACAAGACATTCTTGATTAGTGATTAGTGGCTTTTATGTTATCTTAATCCGTTAAAATTAGTTATGACAAGCAAAGCATTTCTATCTACCTTTGCCTGATTGGATAGAGTTTAACTCAATCAGGCAACGGTATATAAGAAACAAATTGATTTTGATTTTGGTGTAGGAGTGCTTCAACAAATGTAGGTGTTTTTGTTAGAATTGCTTTCGCTAAACGCATTAGACTTTGTCAAGGCTGTTTACCAAATTTAAATATATGATAGATTGTATTTGTGAAATGCTTCTTTGTCATAAGAGCATTTATACATTTATAACAGACTGTATATACTGATATTCTATGTCTGTCGAACTTTCCATCTACTGTAACCATTTTCAAATGCAATTAAAAAAAAAAGTCAATTTTTTCAAACTCAAGTTTTTCTCCTCTTCGATCTCCTCTCACTCAAGTGTAATTAGCTCTCCCTTAAACGTCTTTCAAAAAAATTCCTCGGTTCAAGTTTTTCTATTGACTGTGTTCAAGTTGATATCAAAACTTGACAGTGCTTTAGTTCTTAATATAATCAGCGAAAAATTTATCTTTTTTTTATTTAAATTGCTTTCTTAAAAATACTTTTTAGACCGTCAGGAGTTTGTTAAGAAGTTAGGGTAAACGCGCCTAGAAGAACCGAAATTGCGGAGAAATGTGTATGCAGTGAATCTTTCAACGGACAGCAAAGTCAGCCTTAAAACTGCACCAAGCTGTCACTCGGTTTGATTGAAAAGCTAATAAAATTCGTTTTACTTTCTAGTTTACTTCTTACTTTCGTAATGAAATGACAAAAATTAGATGTCAAAGACGTTTTCACTCAACTCAATGATTTATCTATTTCTGAAGAAGAAGAAAACGATTTTCTATTAATTTTTTCAAAAGTGAAAATTTAATGAATTGAGTTATGGTAATTATTTTCATACACGTCTTCTTTGAATGATTTTAATAATATGCCCAATCACTCAGAAGAATTGTCTTATAATTGTAACAGGCAGTAAATTCGAAAGAAGTGGGTGCGTATAGCTAGGAACCAAGTATGCTCGTCCACACTGAAATTTGAATCCACGAACATCAGCTTGATGGTGGCGACCATTTTATATTGTCTACGCTATGCGATTATCTCTGGACAAAACACGTTGGCTTTCCAAATTTCGCGAACATGTCTCGAAATTGTGACTTGTAGGTTGCAATAAACCATAGTCATCAGATATACAGGCGGACGGACAAGTTGAATCGATCTGTACAATAACATATGGATGGACAGGGTACAAACTTAGTATACTCCGGAGTATAGGGTAACGGAGCAATCATATATTTTTAAACATTTAACGGTTACAAGGGTTAAGGAAACTGTCAAAAAAGCAAACGCCTTTAACAACTTTGGCTACATGTTGGTATCAAAATGAACACAAACACAGTTGATTCGAAAATTTCCAAGGTATTCCCGTGTGCGCCCCGCGAAGTTTTTTGAAATGTCTGCATATGCGGACATGAATGCGGTGAATATAACACAAGGCACACACATTAGGTTTTATTTATTCTTTGCTTTTTATATACCTTAGTAACTCTACACACATACATATGGATAAATAAATATCTCATATATATGTACATCTCATTTCATTACAAAGTCAAAGAGTGTTCAGTGGAGTACGGTTTTCAAACGTTTAAATATGTTTTTATTATTGAAATAAGAAATTTCTGTTCACATATGCGCGATAGAAATGGAGTCCATTTTTTTATTGCTTAAGAGCAATAAGAACATGCAAAATTTTTTTTCTTTTCTTTTCTTCGTTTTCTTCGTTTTCTTGAATAAGCCGGAGAGCATGCGTATGTTTATATGCCCGCAAGCACTCACACATATAAATATGTTATTATAAGTGTAACTTAAACTTTTTCGTTACACTCGAAACCGGCCAGACCAGTTATTATATCATTTGCATTAGGTTCATTGCAAAAAGCCAAGTTTATAAGAGAATTTTCTTATTTCGATATAAGCGAAGCGGAAAGCGAGAGAATTTTGAGAGAAAAAACACAAACATTAGTTGATTTAACTTAAATTAAATTTTAGAAAACATCAATAAGTCAAAGCAATTGAAAATATTGACTATCATTAATATTACTCATCAATGCGTTGCAAAATATTTCAAGAGTGTAACGTTTCCCTCTTTATTTCTTCTCTGCGAGATCAATTTCCAAAACATCGTTTTCAGGAAGCATAGCAATATAAAAGTTTGGAGATGGGATTGGATTCGATTTGCTGCTCTTGATGGATTGATTAGAAAGTCTTATAAGAATTCGTAGCTGTTCTCGTTTGAAAAGATTATAATTCAAGATATTTTCAAAGTTAAGTTCAAAGTTAAATTTTGACGCGTAGTTTAAAATGAAATTATTGAGTGAGATTTTAAAACGAAATTATTGAGTGCAGTGAAAAGATAAGCTCCAAATTTCTTCTATTTTCCGCGGCATGTTTTGGCTGAGTCTTATAAGTCTGTCCGCCGGAGGGTCACTTTGTCAAACTGAAAGAAATTTGTAATCATTTTACACCAGCGTGTTTTTACATCGTACACAACTTGACATGAGTGTCTGCAACATTATCCGAATGCCTCGAGATAGACCCTTCCTTTTGTTACACCAATCGACTCTGAATCGATTTAAGCATCCTTGATAGACTGAGCTCGGCCCACGTGTATTTAATTGTGCTTAATCACACATCAGAAATGTGACTGCCAAATTGGCGCTCGTAGTTCGAGTTGCAATACCAGGTGTGGTCATAGCGATTGAAAATGCTCTGTCACTAAAGATCTAACACTTACAAATTACTCGCCATTATTCCCTATCTGTTTTTCGCTTTTTCTACTTGTTACTGACCATCACTACGCATAGCGTAAATTCTCTAAGTGGTGGTTTTCCACATTAAAGAAATTAAAAAAAAGTCGAGAATTTCAAAATATTATGATGAGATGACGAGCTATAGCGGCATGTTATGACCCAAGAAATCATTTTATTAAAAATAGATTGCATCAGACGATTTTTATGGTCACTTCAAACATAAAACGCTTGTATGGTAACAAAGATTGATTTTTAATATTTCATGATAAAAGTAGATCCACAACATTCATACGATGTCTTAACATACTAAGTCAGAATTATATAGGATACGTGGGATAAATTCCCATTTCACGTGCATTTCACATACATTCCATTATAAAAGCTCTTATAAGGAGTAAATGTTTGCATGGCATCAAAGCGTAATTCCTATCGTTTTATGGGTAAAATAAAAAAAGTAAAATAAGTTGTTTTAGACCAAAATTTTTGGACCATGGTCTGGTTCACTTTTTGGGCACGGTGCCAAGGTTTTTGTTGGAAGTAGACTGTTTAATGTTTTTTTTAAATGAAAATAAACGAAGAACAGAATTAATCAAAGTGGCACAGGATATTTAATAGTTCGTTTTTGCGAACGCTTTCGCTTTTGTTTGTTTATAAAATATTTTTAAAATTATGGCACATTTCAAGTCGATATTTTTTTTCTTATATGAATTCGCTGTATTGTTACGGTCAGCCATTCCTAAACGTATCCCTATCAAAAGGACGGACTGTATATTTATGAACGGACGTATGATGTTATCATCAAAGTGTCTTTGCAATTGCGATTATATTTTCACCAGTCGACTATCTCCAGATAGGTAACTAAAATTTGTTCTATATATGCTTCTAATTCAAATATTTAGATACGCTTAGAAAAATTGTTTCGGTGCGAATGTATACAGAAACAATTGCAATATTTTCAACATTTACCAGTCAATAAGCTGCAGTCTATAAGAGATGAAGCACCATTAGCCAAACGAGTATAAACGTTCAATGCCCGACTAACCGATTACAAGCTTAAGCTCAAAATTAATGTACACCTTGGATTTGCGCACTTCGTGCCTCCTATTTGGCATTAACTATGGTTATCCCCTTCATTGGATTAACTTATACATAAAATATCTCAAATGGAAGTAAAGGGTATGCAAAAATCGTCTACATTTTACTTATACGTATTATTAGCTTATGCGAATATATGCATATATATGTAGATACATACATTTGGATATACGATATATGAATAAAAATTTTCAACGATTTGTTTTGACAACTTAAAGAATATACAGCAAAAGGGGAAAAAAACATTATAGACAGACACAAATGAATAAAACAGTTGCCCTAACATTTGTAATAAAAATCATAATAAAATCAAAGCAAGCAGCGAAGCGAAGCATAATGGAAATATTTATATGAAAAACTTCCCATCTTAACACTAACAAGTATTTACAAATAAACAAACGAAAAATCTATACAGATGTGGTTTACAATGAATCTTGAAGGCCCTCATTGTCTCAGAAAAAACATCCAGCATTTCTTATATTAATTGAGCACATTAAGGATAAAAAGGATATGAATGAAGACAATTTATTCCATTTTGTTCTGTGTCATTGAAAAAAATTTTTTAATTTTTTTTTTTCTTTTAGTAATCCTTTAAATTTTCGCGCTCCTATTCACATTTTTCTGATTTCATTTCATTTCAATTCAATCTTAAACATGTTTGACATATACGTCATATAAAGTGGTGGGTTTATAATCAAGCAAAGAAACAGAATCGAGTCGAAGAGGTTTTGTAAGGCTTAGCCATTTCATAAAGATTTTCAAACTTCAGTGGTAGCTACGGCGAAATTAGGAGGGGGAGCCGGATGGATGTAAATTATTGTAGAATACATATGCTAGGATTCGACACTCTATTGGCATGAGATGTTCGGAATTGACTACAAAAGATGATAGACGGGAGACAGACCGAAATTAAACGCATAAACGCCACTGATTCCCGCTTATTAAGTCTCAAGGGTATTGTTTAGAATTACTGAGGCAGATCTGTAATTCAACTTTGAACTTTCTGCACAAGTATTGGTGATCTTGGTATTATGCAAACAAGCTAGACATAGTGGCAAGCAGTGGTCAAATGATTAAATAAAGGAGCTAATTGCCGTAGTTTGAACTTTTTACATCCATTTTCACTTTTATATGTAGTTTCAACTTTGTGCACCGATTTTCGCCACTTTGATGTTGTCAACAACAAATGGAGGAACTGGCTTCAAGTCAACAGCGGAAGTTTGCCCGATTTCAGTGTTTCACATCGGTTTTCATCACTTTGACATTGTTGGCGATAAACGGGCGCACGGGTAGCCTGGATTCAAGCGAGTAGTGCGAATATGTAAATTTCAATGTTCCGATTCGATTTTCGAACAATTTTTGCTGCTGCCATTATCGATATACGGATTCACGGACAGACTAGCTTCAAGCGAATATCGCCAAAATGCTAATTTTTGGTTTTCCGCATCAATTTTGCCACTTTGACATTAAAGGCAATGGACGCACGGACAGACTACCTTCAAACAAATAGCGCCATTATGCTAATTTCAATTTTCCACACCAATAATTGACACTTTGACATTGTCAATCGAAAATGGACGGACGGACAGACTGCACTCAAATGAACAGCGCAAGTATGCCAGATTTCAGTTTTCCGCATCGATTTAACCATCTTGACATTATCGGTGAGATATCTTGGGACGGATAGACTAGCTTCAAGCGAATAGCTCCATTGCGCAAGTTTCAGTTTTTTCCAATTTGCCACGATTTTTGCCACCTTGGCATTGCCAATGACAAATGGCCGGAAGAAGGGAATTGATCTGGTAATGTTCTTGTAAATTTCAGCCTTCTACTTTCATTTAAAGATGTCTGTACAAAATGAAATGTAAGCTCTTGAAGATTCTTAGTAGTACTTATTTATTCTTTGCAAAAGACGTGACAAAAGTAAGATGCTCTTATCTTTCGGTAATAGTTACAATAATAACCTAAACATATCACTTTTAGCGTATGTTTAGACTCGTATGCAAATGTGCTAAGATTGTAAGATATTTGTATCGAGTGACCACTACAGCGTTACATTATAACTAATATTAACGCAATCACTATAAACGCATGCTGACGTAGCTGTCGGTCTGTCTCTGCCCTGAAAAAATCAACCAACTGACATTATTATGAGTTTCATTATTTAAGCTGGTGATAGATAATCATATAACAGAGTGCGTCCTCATGTGTAATGTGATCCAAGTTAAACATACAAAGGAACCAAAAAAAAAAAAAAAAAAAAGAAAAAATAAACGAAGACGCATATCACGTACTAATATTAACTATCACAACTACTGTTACAAATAAAATAAAAGCTAAGGAATGTATATGGACTTACAAAGTATTTAGGTATCTATGTATGCATGTGTTTTGTGCAAACATCTACGGAGATAGAAAGATTAAGCATAAGTTTTTGTTTGTTTTACTCTCTTAAAAATTTTGCGAATATACTCTGAAACTTGGCAAGACCGGTTGGTTATAGTTGCTTATACCGAACGAGTGCATTGGTGTAAGCTGAGATTTAAGTAAGTTTGAAAAGCATTCATATGTGCGCGTATGTAATTGTGTTAAGTATTAAACAAATGTTAACTCAAACTGTTGTTCTTCTTAAGTCAGTCACTTAGTTAGTCAGTCATACAGCAGTTGTTTGTTATATTTTATATAAACAACGTTCAAGTCTTTAACGTCTTTTCGTTTTGTTGCTTTTGTTATTATTGAGCGTCTTTTTGACGCTTCGAAACCTGCTTTGCTAGGGGCAGACAACAGTCTGAGCCAGGTTAGTGAGTTGAGCACAACACTTAACGAATATTCTTAAGCGGCGCGTTTTCTTTTTGTGCTCAAAAATTAAACGCGTTTTTCTATTACCTTTTGCTGTCGTTGTGGTTGTTACTTCTTTTTATTTTTTTTTTTATCGAAATGTTTTAATCAAGAAACTTTTGGCACATAAATATGAATTAAATTAATTTTAGGAAAATTTATTTAAAAAGGAAAAAAAGGGTGTGTATGTGCATCTTATCTAATATGCAAGGAAAACAAAACAAAAGAAAAAATAAAATATATGTTTACAAGAAAAAAATTTATCAGAGAGTAGTGTTTAAATATAATGTTTTATATATATATTTTTTTTTTGAAAGTAATTACAGTACACAAAAAAAAACAAAACGTAATTTCCGGACAATTTCTTTCAGTGTTTTTTTTTTTGCTGGTTGTAATTTAAAATGCAAATTTATTATGCCTTTTACAACTTTTGTTTAAATATTATGATATGCAGAGAAGACTTAATAAAAACAAAGATGTATATATTAAAATATATATGTATATATTGTATATTATATATGTTTATATATACATATGTATGTGCGTACATATGTATATGATACACCAGTTAATAAGTTCGTAGGATGATATGTAGATGTCGCCACTACTGACGAGCTTATATGATTTCTAGATAACTTGCACTCTCAAAAGAAATGTATAAAAATTTCATGGCATTCCGGCAATTATCTTACAACTTACAGTTTTTTAACTAACTGATGGTACTTTTTTAGTCGCTTGTTGCCGTCCATTCGCTTGGCTGCCGATTTGACTCCATGTCAATAATTCCATGTTTCAACTATTTTGACATATCCCACAAAAAATCCTTTTTGTTTCGTCTAAACAGCTTCACATAGTATCGCGGATCATCGACATGTTGCTTTTGATCAAAAGTTAGCAAAGCCGTTATTCATTTTTTACGGACAGATGTCCATGCAAAATATTAAATCCACTGCTTTCCTATGAGGAATTATGTCAGTTATGCGTGACGGTGTCAACTATTTCACTGCTAAATTCGATCAACCAGAAAGTTTACATATATATATTTTGCAGTATCGGTGCTTGTACGGGCGTCTTTAAAATCAGCAAACCGCTTCTTTACCATTAGTCTCGAGCAAGCAGGACCCAAATAACAATTTTTACGTCATGGCTTCCTTTAAATGATATTTCACTCCGTTAAAAAGCAATACTTTCTCGACAACCGAAAATCAGATGTTGCGATTGTTTTGAAAATTGCAAAGGTGGTAGTAGTAATGGTCTGAATATTGTGAATTTTTGATGTATTCCGTTTGAAGGTTGGTCCATCCAAAAAAGGATAAGAATCCGTCAGTAGTGGCGACATCTATAGATAATGCTACGAACCTATTAATTGTTATATGTATACATTGTAATATAAAGCTAATATAAATAATAATATATTGTATATTATATACATACATATATTACAATATTATCTATATACGCATCTATATACATATATATATATATAGTTTACAAATATTTGAAAATCTTAAAGTAATTACGTGAAGCTGATAAAAACTACGAAAAAAAAAGAAGGAGAAGTTAACTCAACAAATTTTAATTCTAAAATTTTTCAAGATTTTTAAAAAAATTTTGCAGATTTCAAATCTCAGCTAATGCTGATCCGCACCATCTAATTTATTTTAATGTTAATGTGTTATTATTCAACACAAAAGGTAAGTAAAAAATTTGATTATTATTATTATTATTATGAAAATTATTTAAGGCAAGGAGGTTATTTCTGGGACTCAAAGTAGGATGGGCACTAGCAACAATGATTATCCCCTTTATTTTTTTAAAAAAATTGACTGGATGGTTAGTTTAGGCGTTTTAAAAAAGTTAAATATGTCAGTAATAATAAGTTTGGCAGGTGCTTTCAAGATGCCCAAAGCCTTAGATGCTCCTAATACGAGTTTTTCGATTATTGGAAAAGACTTGGAACCCACGAAATATGTGTTTAATCGAAAAATGTTGTCTACAATTGCAAAAATAAATTGGAAGAGTAGTAGTTCTTAAAGATACGCGGGTGTATTGCAAGAGTGTGACTAAGGCGAAGTGTTGCCCTATTCTGATAGTAATTTGCTCGATAGTGCTGGAATGGTAAAAGGATTGCAGTTGTATGGTAGCAGTTTGTAGTTTGCATGGTAGTTTTCGTCAAACTTGTCTGTGATATTTTGTTTAACATAGTTTTGAAGGTCAATCCGGTATATTGCGTCACACGTAATCAAAGCTTGCGATGAGGCCAATATGAGTCTGCACCCGACATAATTGTAATTTTGTATTCCTAAGTGGCAGTGGTATTCCTTGCTTTTTTTGATGACGTTTCAACTCTAGTTCATGCAAGCAGGGTTTGCAGCTTGAAGAAAAGCATTAATTTTAGTTGAAATGTTGAAGAACTTTCGTGCAGGATACGAATAATCTGGATTTGACTCCTGATACCTAGTGTTATATAGGCAGGAATTTGCTATTCTTAGGACCCTATGCAACAATAATTAAAAAAAAAAGCAAGTGAATATTCCATTCTATCTAATACAATACCTAACCTATAGTCGTCACAATTTATGAAAATTATTTCATTGCATGAAAAGAGATTTGAAAAATAGATCTGCGACCAGTCATGATGTAACGTAAACCCGTCTTTTGGGATTTTACATTGTTTTACATATTTAACACTTTTTGAAATTAAGTTCGCAGCGCCGAATTGTGATTTTTAGCATACTATAGGTTTTATTTACGAAATTAAGAGATCTATTTACGAATTATTTACAGGAACCTATATTTAAAGGATTTCAATTTTCGTTATGGTATTGTTCGTTCGAATATTGCAATTCAACTCTTTTGACTCGACTCTTGTCAACTAACTTTCGTCTGACTTCGCCTCTCGCAAATATTCTGCTTATATATCCTTTTGCAAACAAGTTACTATTACCTAAATTCATCGTGACATTTTTAATCCGTTGTTAGTCTTCTCGCCAGTCACAAGCTGCTTGTCGCAGGTGACGTGGATTGAACGTGTACTTGGTTTGCCCCTTTCTTCACAATTTTGTTTCTTAGAAAATCGCCTAACTTTTATGAAAACTCAAGTTCTTCACATATGCCATATGCGTAACAATACTGCTATGTAAGAAAATTATTTTCGGTCGTGATCGCCCATAGGACACGCGTTCAAATTTTTGTCGATTCATCTGGTACACTTTATGAGCAATGAGAAAAAACTAATTTTTTAATCCGTTTGCAAAACAGAGCCTTTCTCAGTTTAAGTGGGACGCGCCCTTCGATCGATTTTGCCCAATTTCAATAAAAACTTGCGTACAAGAACTTCCAATGTTTTTGCCCAATTTGAAATCGTTAGCTCCATTTTTGCGGCCTGGAGAATGCTTACAACAGACATTATGGGGACGGACAGATGGACAAGCTTAAATTGGTTTAGAATTTGATGCTGATCAAGAATACTTTGTGGAATCTTTAGGTTAGGACAAAATGAATATACCCCTCATTCTTCGCCAATCGGTATAGAAATCGAAGCTTTTTTATTTTGTATGGCGATATAGCTCAACAATTGGCCCGATCTACATATTTTGCATTGATTTAAAATGCTAAAATGCTCTTTTTAGTAAGAATCTCTCAATTTATTTCATATAACAAGAGCTTTCACTAAAAGGACATTTTAAGGGAAGTGGTCATAAGAAAAGGTTCGCTTTAGCATAGTTCTTGAAAACAAAACATGTCCGTGCATCAAATTTCAATTAAAATATATCGAAAATTGCAAACTATAGTTTCAATATAAAAATATAATGACAGGAAATAGATAGATAAGCACGGAGAGGAGTAGACGGACAATGATGCAGAAACGATAAGGTTGCCATATCCTAACCGGTGTAGGGTATAACGAATAAAAATCCGAGATTTGCATGTATGCTTCCAAGTGAACTTTTTGCACTAAACAAAAGTCGCAGGAAAATCAAAAATTCTAACAATTTAGTGCAAGGTGGCTTAATTTAATGAAACTACTTAGCCGCGGGCTTAGCGATACGCTGGATTATCGCGAGACCTTATTTTCAAAGTTGCCTAATCATTTCTCACTTCATCCCTTGCATCATCTGCTGATTCGATATTTTAAGAAAGATTTTCAAAAGATCACTTATTGGGATGAAACTTGAAAACACCTGAATTTTCGACAATTGAAGGAGTATTTTGAAAACACAATAAGATTGGCTTTATGAAGAAATAGTAGATTGGTTCCATATTTAAAAACGGCAACTGAAAAGTACTATAAACAATATTACAAAATTCTTAGTAGAGTTCTCTTATGAAGTTATTTTGCGTTTACATATTTTAATGCATAAAATATATCAAAAAATAAATTATACTTTGAGAAACCAAAAAATACATGACAACTTTTATATATGCATAATGGGAAATTCCATTCATATGCGCATATAATCGACCTAATCTCACTGAGTTGTGAAAAATATAACGCGAAGCTACCGAGCATATTGTGAAGATTGAGAATGAAAAAATTGATAAAAACATCCATAAAATATGCATCAAAAAAATCCTTTAAAAAAGTTCGTAAAATATTGAAAATCGTGTTAAAACAAAACGATTCGTATAAAAAGAAAAATTTTTTTGTTTTTAACTCTTGTTCAATTTCGTGGAAAGAGAGAAATAAGTCTACAAATGTACTTCAGATTATACGCGCAATTTAACTTAGTATCTATAGTAAAACGATTAAATATATAATGATAATGTAAAGAGAACAAAAAAAAGTACAATAAATTTGCTTATTCTTCAAGTGGACATCAATGAAAAGAATGAGTCGACTCGAACTAGCCGTAGCATGGCAACTCAAGTTGAACCCTTCACATTTTATCAAATTCAAACTCAAACTTTAATTAATTGTATTACTTAGGTATGACAAGTGACAAAACATGTGATTTATATAACGTTTCCTTTTTTACGTCATACGTATAGAGTCTGTTGGCGAAACAAGATTATAAATGTATATTGACTAAATTTTAAATACTGATAGTTCCTTGAAGGACGGCTAGGAACATTAAATTCAATTTTCATTAGCAAGATCCATGAATCAATAGTGCGGTTTATCAAATTTACTAAGAAGCTGAAACCTAAAATGAATTTACGTTTCTCAAGCGAAGGTAATGCTATTAATAGCAATCTGTTTCTGTATGCTGGTAATATTATCCGCCCCGCGAGACCAAAACGCAACCTAGGGTAGTACAAGTTTAATCCTTATCCAAAAATAGGCGTAGATGGTCCAAATTTTGTAGAGTTTATTTTTGTAGGAAATTGCTATAATATTAGTTGGTCAATTTTTATGACCACATATTAAAATCTAGTCTTTTTTGTCCTTATTAGGGTAAAATCCAAAAAATAGGTCGAGATGGTCCAAATTTGCTACAGTTAAATTTTTTTGTATTAAATTACTATTACGATATAATTTTTATCAATTTTCATTGAAAATTGTACCCTTTTGTTGTATGAACTCTAGTTTTCCTTATATGAGAGGGAGTTCAAAAGAGGGAGTCCCAAAAGTTTTCGTACCAATTTGAAATACTCACTTTTCCTGAGAAATTTTGAAAATTACAATTAGTTTGCATGTAACGCCTTTTCAGAATAGGACCTTATATGGGGAATAGTCGAAAAAGTGGATCGATACGAATTATTTTTAACAACGTTCGTTCTTAGATCAAAACACTGTACCAAATTTTATCGCAATATCTCCAAATTTGACACCTGTAGCTTGAACACAAAATTTAAATGAACAGACATCAGACGGACGGACAGACAGGCTTAGATGAGTTCAGACTCTGATTCTGAATCGATCGGCATAATAACAGGAGGGGTCTATCTTAAGCCCGTCTAATATATACTGTACAATAAATGGTGTAGGGTGTAACAACACGTATGAAAAGTGCTTTGCGATTGAAAATTGAAAAAAAGGGTATACTTTACTGGACAAGTAATCAACGTTTGCTTTAATACTTGTCTGTATTGTTAACTTAACATAATGTGGACGACTTAAACGATGACGAAAACGATAAAAATCGTAGCCAGTGATGTTTCTCTTGATTCTTAATGTAATTTGCTAATGAAAATACTCCATCGCAACGGATATCCGTCTTAAGTCACGTTTTGTTGAATCGTCAGAATGCACAAGTCGAACTCATAAGGAATTTTAAAATATGTATGGAAATACAATTCAAAGTAAAAGGAAATGAGAAAAACATCATCTTGTAATCAAAGAGAAAACCAATTTTGGGGAAAGAAATGCCTTTTAATAAAGAAAGACATTGTCAGTGTAATTATTTTTTAATTTTGATTAACGTTGCCTTCCAGTTTTCCTTTCCTTTTGTTACTGTTTGCAAAATTTTACCAAATTTGTCAACTCACTTATCTTTAAATATGATGCAATGGCAATTTACTTGCGATGAGTTAAAAAGAAGAAAACCTCATTTTTCTTTAACATATCACTAAGTGTTCGCCTTATGCGTGGAAGTTATTAAACGATGTTGATGAAGCGTCAACGCTACTTTTTGAATTAAAATTTAACCTTGAGAAACAGGTTAAAAACTTACGCAAAAATCGCAAACAAGCAAAACAGAAAAAAAGTACGTCAACGTTTCATATATAAACCGAACAGCAGCAACAGGTT